AACACACACACACACACACACACACACACACACACACACACACACACACACACACACACACACACCCCTACCTGACCATGGTCCTGAATTAATATTGCAGCCACAGGCATTTCTCTATAGTGCTGGGGGACAGGGCTTGTTTCAAATTCTGCTCCTGTCCCTCTGCCAGTTGTATTTATAGCTGAGGAGTCCTTTGGTTCTTGTTTCTTTTGCTTTTCTTTGTTTCCTTCCCTTCTTTCCTCCCTCCTTCCTTTCTTCCTTCCTTCTTTCCTCCTTTCCTGCCAGTACTGGAGCTCAGGGCCTCTTTTAGCTGTTTTGCTCAAGAGTGGCGCTCTAGTACTTGAGCCATACCTCCACTTGTGGATTTTTACTGGTTAACTGGAGATAAGAGTCCCCTGGACTTTGCCCAGGCTGGCTTTGACTCTGGATCTCAGCTCTAAGCCTCCTGAGTAGCTAGAAAGACTACAGTTGTAAGCCATGAGTGCTGGGCTTAACTTTACATATTTCATGAATCTATTTACTTTGAACATTCTACTGGCTAAGTTCAAAGGTTATAAGTCACTTTGCTCTCATTATTCTTTTTCCTTCCTTCCTTCCTTCCTTTCTTCCTTCCTTCCTTCCTTCCTTCCTTCCTCCCTTCCTTCCTTCCTTCCTTCCTTCCTTCCTTCCTTCCTTCCTTCCTTCCTTCCTTCCTTCCTTCCTTCCTTCCTTCCTTCCTTCCTTCCTTCCTCTTTTCTTTCTTTTTTGCCAGTCCTCGAGCTTGAACTCTAGGCCTGGGCTCTGTCACTGAACTCTTTCACTCAAAGCTAGCACTCTACCACTTGAGCCATAGCTCTACTTCTGGAGGTAAGAGTCTCACAGACTTTCCTGCCCCAGCTAGCTTCGAACCTTGGTCCTCAGATCTCAGCTTTCTGAGTAGCTAAGATTACAGACGTGAGCCACCAGAGCCTAGCTTTCCTCTCATTCTTGTCCTTTAAATTCTTTCTTCCTTAAACATTTACTGAGAACCTTCTAGGGCCTGATCTTCATTAGATGTGAGGGATACCAAGATGGAGATTGCCTTCATGGAACATACAGTCTAGAGAAGGATAGAGACCAGATGAAAGAAATAATACCACAAGCTGGTAAGAGAGAAGAGAATGATGTGAGACATAGGGAGATGAGAATTAACTGCTTTTCCATGACCTGTGAAATATGCTCTATTTTTACTTTTTTATTTTTGGTGGGGCTGTGGATGAAACTTCAGGCCTCCTGTATCCTATGTCAGAGCAACATCACTGAGTCACATTCCCAGCCCAGTATGACTTTCTTTTTTTCTTGGTCATGGGGCTTGAACTCTGGGCCTGGGCGCTGTCCCTCAGCTCTTCAGCTCAAGGTGAGCACGCTACCACTTGAGCCACAGCACCACTTGTGGTTTTCTGGTGGTTAATTGGAGATAAGAGTCTCACAGACTTTCCTGGGCGATCCTCAGTTCTCAGCCTGCTAGTAGCTAGGATTACAGGCGTGAACCACTGGTGTCCGGCTTGACTTTCTTTTTAATCCTGATCCAGATGGCTCTGTCAGCAAGGTGGGGACTGCACCTTGAGCTTCAGTCTCAAGATGGGCTAAATCCTGAGCCCACTCATGCCTTCCCTCGGCTCAGACCCATGTTCTTTTTTCCTGTTGCTGGATGGCATTGGCCCTTTGTCGCTAAGATTCCTAACACCCGGGAGTATAAATACAACCTCCTGCCTAGACCCACCTTTAGACCCATGGAGATGTGAGTCTACCTGTGCCAATGTTCCTCCAAGCCCTAGAAACAGGGGCTCACCTCCTCTGTCCACAGTCCATCACTGGGTCCCAGATCAGACCACAGCTTCTCTCTGCTGCCTGGGGCATTGTGGGCAGCCCCGGTGACTCCTTGTCTTGTTACCCTTTGCCTCTTTGCTAGATCTCCCTTCTTCCCTCTTGAAGATAGCCCCTTCCCCCTCCATGCATGGCTAAGCTTCTAACAGCTGTGTCCACCTGCTGCTAGATTTGTTCATTCCTGCTCACCACTGCACCTGGCTCTCTCCCCAGGATTGGGGAGATCTCTCCCCCAGTGCTCCTCTGTGCTCTCCTCATTATTAGCTTCCTCTCCCAGGCCGGAGGAGCCACACAGGCCCCACTCTCCTTGACACTTTCCATTTAGGATACCCTGGCGCCCAATCTCTCCTGTCCTCTGGCCATTCCTCCATGCCTTGGACAAGCTTCTTTTTTCTAACACCCCATTTGCCTGCCCATCAGTGGTTCTGTAGACCTACTCTGGAAGGATGGGGATGCAGTTGGCATGTGGTGGTTTGGGGAGGCAGGAATGCTGGAAAGTACACAGGTATATGAGGCTACTGTTCCCAATTCCAATTAGCTGGGCTCCGGGGTTGTAGAAAAGAGTAGAAAAAGATTACAAACAGGAAGTGTAAAGGTCATCTGAGAGCCATAGAAGACAATGAGCAGGCAAGTCTGCCTCAGCTGCTCACAACATCTCCCTGATTATTACGTGTACCAGTCCCGGAGCTGGAACTCAGGGTTTCAGTGCTGTCTCTGAGCTTTTTTGCTCAAGGCTGTTATTCTAGCACTAAAGGGCTGAGAATGTGGCTTAGTGGTAGAGTGCTTGCCTAGCATGCATGAAGCCCTGGGTTCCATTCCTTAGTAGCACATACACAGAAAAAGTCAGAAGTGCTCTGTGGCTCAAGTGGTAGAGTGTTATCCTTGAGCAAAACAAGCTCAGGGACAGTGCCTAGGCCCTGAGTTCAAGCCTCAGGACTGGCAGGAAAAGAAAAAAAAAGAGTTTCATAGATTTCCTTGCCCAATTGGATTTGAACTGAGATCCTTAGATCTCAGCCTCCTAAGAAGCTAGGATTATAGGCCTGTACCAGCACCCAGCTCTTTTTGTGGGGGGGGGGGGGGGCGGGGAAGGGGAGGATAGAGTCTTGCCATATAACCTAGGCTGGTCTTGAACTACTGATCACCTTGTCTTCTGCCTCAGCATCCCAAATCCTGGGAATTCAGGACTGAGCTTTCATAGCTGGCTCTCACTGAATGCTTGCAATACCTCCTGACTTACTCTCCCCTTGGATCCCGACACAATGGTCCAAGGGGTCTTTCAGAAGCCAGTATCCAATCATTTTATCCCCTTGCCCCTCAGTTAATTAGCAAGGTGGATGGCAGAGGAATTGTGACTTTGAGAGTAGACTCCAGGGGTGTGGCTCAGTGGGGGGGAGCACACAGGTGAGATGCAGATGGCATCAGATGTGGCATTGTCCTACTACTTGCTTAGCATGAAAATACAGCTGGGGCGGATTGGTTAGGATTTTGAGCAGTGAAAGGGATGGGCCTCTGATGATGGAGGCCCCTGCATCAAGAGAGCAGAGAGAGCAAGGTCATGGCCCCAAACCTCAACTTTATTTATCTGGGAGACAATATTTGGAGGCCAAATGAGATCAGTAAGTTTAGCCCTTAGCAAGCTTCCTGGCACAAAGCAAGGGTTCATTCAGTGAGTCATCATGATCATGATAATCATCATCATCATCATCATCATCATCATCATGTACTTAACTACAATCTATAAGAATCAGAAGTAGCTGGTCACTTGTGGTTCATCCCTGTAATCCTAGCTACTCAGGAGACTAGGATCTGAGGATCACAGTTCAAAGCCAGCCTGGGCAGGAAAGTCTGCGAGACTCTTTTTTTTTTTTGGGTCCGGTTGTGGGGCTTGAACTCTGGGCCTGGGCACTGTCCCTCAGCTCTTCAGCTCAAGGCTAGTGCTCTACCACTTGAGCCACAGCGCCACTTCCAGCTTTTTTCTTTTTGCTTATGTGGCGCTGAGGAATCGAACCCAGGGCCTCATGCATGCAAGACAAGCGCTCTATCACTGAGCCACCTTCCCAGCCCCAAGTCTGTGAGACTCTTATCTCCAATTAACCACCAGAAAACCAGAAGTAGCACTGTGGCTCAAGGGAGAGAGAGCTCTTCAGCCTTGAGCTGAAGAGCTCAGGGACAGAGCCTAGGCCCAGAATTAAAGCCCACAACTGACCAAAAAAAAATCAGAAATAACTGGATGGCTGGTCTGAGGGCTTGAAGTAGGCCCACTTTAGGAGACTCTTGTTTGTCTGTCCATAGAGGGCTAAGGCAAGTCCACAAAGCATAAAAGGAACAGAAAGTTTCTGGGATGAGGACTCTAGGCTCAGCCCTGGTCCTGCAGATGACTGCAGATCATCACAGGCATGATCCTAAGGCTGGATACTCACACACACTTCCCACCAAGATATCCAAGGCCTGCTCAGGGCCCCCTCCCCCTTATCCACCCAATTTCACCAGATTCACTAAGTTCAAGGTAAAAAACAGAGCTGAACAAGGACAGACCAGTTTCCCCTACTCTGACTCTGGCTTTCTTGTGTGATAGGAGAGCTTGGTTGAAAGTCTGTGAGATGCTTATCTCCAATAAACCATCAGAAAACCAGAAGTGGTACTGTGGCTCAAGTGGTAGAATGCTCACCTTGAACTGAAGAGCTGAGGGACAGTGCCTAGGCCCAGAGTTCAAGCCCCATGGCTGACCAAAAAAAAACAAAAACAACCCCCCCCAAAAAAACCACACACATTGACTTTGAGCTGGACCCCGGGGGGTGGGGGGAAGAGGGGCTGTGGCCTGTGGGCTCCTACAAGGTGTCCTGGAACCAGGTCCCTCTTCCCAGCTTCTAGTTCTCTATCATACCACCTGCCATTGTCACTCTGCCATGAACTATCCGAAGAGGAAGCACTCTGCATTGTTTGGTTCTGATTCCAGCTGTCCCTTGCCACCAAGGACTAGGCTTGGTCTGGGATCACACAGAGGCACGGGCCAACTCTCCAGGAGGAAGCTGCTAAAATGTGGGTGGCAGTGGGGACACTGTGGCACACAGTGGCATTTAGGCCACTGCCGGCTTGCCATCAGCTGTGGGGCTGGTGGACAGCCTTCCTGAGATCTCTGCCATCTTTCTCTGCAGTCTCGAAGCAGCGTGCAACAAGGAGACATGGACGGAGCACGGAGGCTCGGCCGTCTGGCTAGGCTGCTTAGCATCACCTTCATCATCCTGGGGATCGTGATCATCATTGTGGCTGTCACGGTCAACTTTGCAGGTGAGGCCTGGCTGTATGGAGCAAAGCCCCTAAGGCAGTTGCAGTGAGTGGGGATGGAGAGAATACATTACATTCCAATGGCTCCAACCCCAGCAGTGCTTCCCTAGGAGTCAGAGGCTATAAGCTCTAGTCTCAGGTCTGATCTCCCTGATCCTATTTGGCTGGGCACATGAATCAAGGACGAGGAAGAAGCCCCCCAGTGTGATGAAGGCTGTGAGTCATCTTTGTAAAATGATGCATATGCCTGCTTGCTGGGACAGCCAGGGCAAACCAGAAGCAAGCCATGCACAGGCAGGAAGTCAGGAATCAGTGCTCTGTGAGCACCCAAAGGGGCGGCCCAGTGAAGCCAACTCGGCAGAAGAATCCTTTCTCTATCCTCCATACTAGAGTCTGAACTTAGTGCTTTGCACTGGCTAGGGAGGTGCTCTACTGCTTGAGCTATGCTTCCAGCCTTTTGTTTTGTTTTGTTTTCAGGGAGAGTTTCACATTTTTGCCTTAGACCCTGACCTACAGATTATCACCTAGATCCATGGATAGAAATCTATGGTCTCTTAAGTAACTGGGATCATAAATGACTCACCAAACCAGTTCAGATAATATTCAAATAATTATAATTATTTATATATATTATTTATATTTATAATTATTATAATTATATAATCAAAGAATTCAAATTCTACTATAATGAAGTACCGTGATGTAAGGCACACTTACAAAGGAAAAAAAAAACAGTAACAACCATAGCCAGGCACCAGTGGCCCATGCCACTCAGGAGGGTTGAGATCTGAGGATCAGGTTTCAAAGCCAATCCAGACAGAAGAGTCCCTGTGAGGAGACTCTTATCTCCAATTAACTATTCAAAAACTGGAAGTGGAGCTGTGGCTCAAAGTGGTAGAGTGCTAGCAAAAAAGCCCAAGCCGGGGGTTCATGACTGACAAAAAACAAAAAAACAAAAACAAGAAGTTCTTCATGGGTCTGCAGCTGGAGCACCATCTGCAGAATCCACAGGTCCCGTGTGAGGCCCACTGAATGGAAATCTGCCCTGGGGTCATGGGTAACCTTGGCAGGAGAGAAGGAATTATACAGATTTGCAATCAGCCTAGGTTCAGAATCCCCGTCTCCCTATGCAAATGGAAGCATGTTTCATAACCTCTCAGCGCCTCCGTGTTCTTCCTCATTAATGCAGGCTGATGGGCTTGCAGGCGTCTGAGAGGCAGGAGCCACTAGCTCAGGGCCCTAGGCTTTTCTTGCCCTTCTATTTGTCATCTTAGCCAAGACTTTCTTTTTTTTTCTTTTCTTTTCCTTCTCTTTTTTTTTCATTTTTTGGTCAGTCATGGGGCTTGAACTCAGGTCCTAGACTCTGTCTTTGAGCTCTTTTTGCTCAAGGCTAGCACTCTACCACTCTAAGCCACAGCACCAAAGGTGATTAATTGGAGATAAGAATCTCAGAGAGGGCTGGGGAGGTGGCTCAGTGGTAGTGTGCTTGCCTTGCAAGCATGAGGCCCTGGGTTCCATTCCTTAGCACCACAGATGCAGAAAAACCTGGAAGTGGAGCTGTGGTTCAAGTGGTAGAGTGCTACTCTTGAGCTAAAGAGCTGAGGGACGGTGCCCAGGCCCACAGTTCAGGCCCCACAACCCACACAAAAAAAAGAATCTCAGAGGCTTTTTTGCCGAAGGTAGCTTTGAATCTTGATCCTTAGATCTCTGCCTCCTGAATAGCTAGGATTACAGGCATGAGCCATCAGTGCCTGGCAGGACTCTTCAATGTCAAGAGACAACTTTCTGAACTCAAATTGGCAAAGGAAATCTGTTAACTTTCATATATTGTTTCAGCATTGTGTGTTAATTTTTGAACAAAAGCATGACAAGGTTCTCAGAGAATAGTGACAGGAATCTGCCTGATTTTTTCCCCTGCTTTCCAGTGTGTTGGCTTCGTCTCTAGGCAGGATTGCTCCCGTGATGTGGCAAGGTGACAAGCAGAAGCACTAATAGTGCTCATAGTAATAGTACATATATTGACCAGTCCAGTAACGAGGTAGGAGAACAAAACAGTACCTGTGATTGGCCTCCTTAAAGTACCTCTGTCAATAGTTAGAAGTGCCAGGCTGGGAAGGTGGCTCAGTGGTAGAGCGCTTGCCTTGCATGCATGAAGCCCCAGGTTCGATTCCTCAGTACCACATAAGCAGAAAAAGCCAGACGTGGCGCTGTGGCTCAAGTGGTAGATCACTAGCCTTGAGTTGAAGAGCTGAGGGACAATGCCCAGGCCCAGAGTTCAGGCTCCACAACCAACAAAAAACAAACAAAGAAAAAACCAGAAGTGCCAAGACTGATTTTAATTGGCCTAGGTAGGATCAGTGAGGAATCAATCGCAGTCTTCTTTCATTGACAGGAGTTCACTTCTACCAAGAGTTCCAAACCATAGAGGTTGTGGGCCCCTCTACCTTATCCCTGTTACCATTTCCCATTAGAAAACCAAAACCAAACCCTCGAATTGTTGAATTCCCAATGTTCTGAGCTCTGTTCTGTCTTAACTGTTCTCTTTCTTTACAGTTCACAGTAAATAGAAGGAAGCAGGGAGCCATGCTAGCAGAAGCAGACACTGGCCAGCTCTGAACCCACATACTTTACATACCATGGGATGGCAGGATGGTGGCTGCCAAGTAGCCACCTGTCTCCAAAAGCACAATCTTGGAGGAAAACCCAAGACACCCCATTATCAGCCCACACCAGATGGGAATATGTGGAGGAAGGAAGGAAGGAAGGAAGGAAGGAAGGAAGGAAGGAAGGGAATGAAATTTACTATGTAACCAATGGATAAACGAGTTTAATCTCACGGACACATCCCGGCATTTTGACCCAATGCTCTGGCTTGCTTCTCATCCTCACAATTTCCTGGGACCAATCAAGCAACATAAACTGCCAGACAAGAAGAAAACCAGCCCCACCGATCAGATCACCTACAATAGGGAAAGCAGCTGCACAGGCTCATGGCGTCTGCGGTCTAGGAACACAGAAGTAGGACTTCATCTTTTGTACTTTTTCTCCAGGGGAGGAAACAGTCTGCACGCATGCTTTGTGCCTCCTGCCTATGGTGATCCCAGCCTTAGCCCGGCTGAAGCTGCCAGAAGGGCGGCCAGGAGGCAGCCACTACCTGGGTAAACCTTCCACTGCAACGTGGAGGGGCAGAGAAGTTGATGAGGATGAGACTACGAACACACTGACCTGTCTGTCTGGCTGCTGAGAACTCTGGTCCTAGTGTGTTCCCTTGATAGCCTTGTCTGCCTCTCGCCACCTCCTGAGCATGTAGTCTGGGTCACCAATGGGAATCTCCTGGGGCCTGACCCAACCTAGGCCAGCCTGAGCTCTCCTCTGCTATGACCTCCTTCATGACTTAGGGTGCAGACTGGGGAACCTATGCAGAGGGGCTCAAGGGCCCCTGTGCTTAGGGGAGGGGCAGGCTTCAGCCCAGTCCCATCAGATGCTAAATTCTTAGCCTGGCATCCCCGGAGTGGAGTTGGCTTGGGACTGGAGATGGGGTGAGAAAATCCCACAGATTCCCTAGTTATTTGAGTTGCTTACCATAGTTGGCCATAGAGGGTTTTATTTTATGAAGGCATTTGTTTGTTTGTTTGTCGGTCACGGGGCTTGAACTTAGGGTATGGGTGTTGTCGCTGAACTCTTCAGCTCAAGGCTGCACGATCTCAGCCTCCTGAGTAGCTAGGATTACAGGCGTGAGCCACCAGCACCCAGCAGGCTGTTTTGGAGTTTAGAGTTTTGTAATCTAGAGTCATAAAACAGAGAGAAGGACCTGAGCCATAATTGGAATATTTGGAATATTGTTTTGGAATCTAGAGTCCCAAAACTGAGAGAAAGACTGAGTCAAAAGATCCAGATTTGAAAAAGTAAGGAATGAGGGAACTTGGGGATATTTTCACATTCTTGGAGATACGAGTCTAGACATCACATGACAGCTGCTGAGCGGGACTGTCTCCCTCCTTGATTTTTTTTTTTTCCCCCACAAGGGCCTCTTCCCCAGTTTCTCCCCAGCACAGGATGTAGCCACAAAACTTTACCTTCCCTCCTGGTCTCCTGGCTTACTTGCCTAGCACCAGGGTCACTGCCCTCAATGTAGGGACAGGTCCCAGTCCCAGCCACACTGGCAAGGCCTCATTCCCCTACCCCACAGCAGGACCCTACTGCCTCCCCTCCAGAACCCCAGGCTGACACTCCACACTCTACAAAAACTCCCAGAAGGCAGAAGTCTTCATGGATTCTTCAAGGCTGGTATTTCTATCAGGTCTCCACTGGGAGCCTCTCTCACTCCTAAAGTGGGGACTGGCTGAGTTTGTTGATGGGATCTGTGAAGCCAAAATAAAGTTGTCCATATTTTCTGTGAGAAAGCAGAGTGTTCATGCAGCTTGGGAGGTCAGGCTAGGTCAGGGAGCCATGATTCCAGGAGATCAGCCAGTTTCAGGGTTTTGGTTATAAGTGGCTAGTGTCCATTAGGTCCTGGAGACCCCAGCTCCAGAACCTGGGAGGAGAGAGCTTAGGGATCACCATACGGAGAAAACCAAGCAGAGAGGGTCTTTATCTGTATGACCTTTGTGTCCTGGGAAGGCTGCACGTGTTGGGCCTTCTCCCCATCTAGCCACACTACACATCAGGCCCTGCATTTCTCATACACATACATTGATTCACATTTGAAGCATGGAACAGTCTAGAACCCTGTTTCAGTGAAGCTACTAGCACAGAGTCCTGGGAAATGGCTCAGCTGGAACATTCTTTCATTGATAAAAGCAACTTGGAACACCACCTGGTATCCCAGAGGCCATCCCAGGGAAGGAGACAGAGGGACACTTCCAGCAGAACCAGGTCATAGGCAGTCTGGCGTCTCCAGACTATACTGAAGTGGAGAGGGGCAGTGGCTCTTCTGTTCTATCTCCATCTTGGTCCAGCTTCTAGCTGCATGAATATGGTGGTCCCATGGCTAAGGGTGCTGACTAGCCTCTCCTGGAGTCCTGTGGAGAGCAAAGACTGCTTCTCTCCCTCTTCCCTCTCCCCTTTTCTCTCTCCCCCTCCTCCCCTCTGCCATAATCAGTGACTGTATTTCTTGGCATGGAGAGAAATAAAGTTAAACATGCGTGGTCTCTGGCCTGTCTGTGTGTACTGCTGAGAGTCAAAGGTTTGCAAATCGGGGGGGGGGGGTAAGGGGGTCATGGTGTGGGAGCAGTCCCCTTAGCCTTTTGGTTCCCAGGGCCAAAAGTGGGTCCTGCGGACCCTGTGCACACTGGGGTTCCATGATCCACACTTAGGCATTTCTCTGGGCAAGTCACTATCTTGTCCGTGCCTCAGTTTCTCCCATTTGTAATAGGAATGGGTAATGCTGGCTATGTCTCCTCCTCTCCTTGCTCTTTTCTCTACACAGATGGAAAGTCTTGGGCAGGAAAGAGTTCTTGCTCCTCTAGGCATGGGGAAGAGGAAGGAGTGGGTGGAACAGAGGGAGAAGGATGAAGAGAGGGAGAAGAAGGGAGGGAAGGTCTTAGGACCTGGGAGAGCAGAGTGGATCAGGCCATGAAGCTGGAGCTGGTCCACTTGAGTTCAAATCCTACCTGGCTACTAGTTACCTGAGCCCACTTGGGGAAGCTCCTTAACCTCCCCGTACCTCATCAAGTCTGAAAGGGTTAGTGTCCAATGAAATAGTCCACGTAAAGTCTGAAGCATACACCATCTGTAGCAATGGGACATCCATCGACCCATCTCCCTCCGTTGAAGCAAAACACAGGGCTGAGACCAGAGAGTTCACTGGCTAAGGGTTGGTGCAGGCCACAGCGCTAACTCTCACCTCTCTCCTCATGACTGGTTGTCTACCTTAAGTGCAGCAAGTCCCTAAGCCCACCCCCTGCCTGTGCAGGGCCCTGCCCAGCTCATCTGTACAAATAGGCACTGTGGTACACCCTCCAACAGATGTGTGTGAGAGTTAACAACTCCCAACAAGCACCCCACTCTATGGTACCTGATTTGGACCTTTATGGGTATGGCTTTGCCTCCTATGGAGGAAAAGGTAGAGTAATACTTGGCTAGTCTCCTAATGAAGACATTGACGGCTTCCCCAAAGCCATCATGAAGAATCAAGAAGTGACCGTGGACACATCACCTCCTCTCAGGTTCACTTCTGGCTCCAGGTAACCAGCATGCCTCATGCAGGTCCAGCTCACAATGGACTTGAAGAGACAAGTCCCTGTCACGTGGGAGTGGAGACTCATCAAGGTATGGAAAGGCATCTGTAGCAGGAAGGAGGGGAAGAAGTGGTTAAGGCTGGGCTCCATCTTTCCCGTCTCACGGACTTTAAACACCTATTGTGTGCCAGGCCTTGTGCAGGACTCTGGGGACTCAAAGATAAAAGAAGGTTTCCTGGGCCACATGACCTTTGACCTAAAGGAAACGCTACAAAGGAAGGGAAGGCATTGGTGTGAGGAGAATGTGGGCTCTGGGTAGGACAGGGCAACAGCTTGTGGGATCTGTGTCCCTGGAGGTTGGGGGTAGCCAATAAGAAGATGCCTTTGGTCACTAACACTGTGAATGAAAATTCACCCAGTCAGACCTGGGTGAATTCCTTCAGAGCAAGAAGCCCAGTGTCCAGTGCATAGCCCAAGCATGCCCTTTCAGAGGCAGAAGCCTTACTGGGCCTTAGAAAACCTAGTGATCAGGGTTGGATGCGTGGCTCAGTTGGTAGGGCACTAGCCAATGAGCAAAAATCTCAGGTACTGAGTTCAAGTCCCCATCTTGGGGACAAAAAATAAAAATAAAAAAGCAAGCCCAGAGATCTCCCAGGGGAATCGTCTTTTCAAAGACATTTGAAGCATCTTCAGAGGTCCACATTAAAGATAAAATGTCCCCTGGCTGATGTTACCAGGACATCTTAAGCACATGCACCTCAGCAGTGACCAGCTTTACTGCCTGGCTTGGTGACCTGAGGGTTTCTTTGGCAGTATTTGGCCGTGCATATAACCCCATTTCAGAAACTGAAATGGAGGCTGGAGGGAAGACTTGCGTTTTGGAATCAGTAAGGCAAGGTTAGAACTCCCACAAGTGACAAAGACCAAAAGTCTCCAGCTCCTCTCCTGTAAACAGGGTGTCAACTGACCTCGTGGCTGGGTGGGGGGGGGGGCAGGGCTATGTGGGAGCAGTCAGTCTTGTTCCTCAGGAGAGGGCCAGCCCTGCTGCAGAGGCATGGAGAGGGGCTTTCAGGCCTTACTTTCTACCGTGAGTGCTCTTCTCCCCTTCTTTCTCCTTGCCTTTCTTCCATCCATCCTCTCTGGGTTTATTGTAACACTCTGAGAACGTCTAGGAAATCTTGTTTCTCAGCCATCTTGCTTGCTTGAGAAGCAAAGAGGACTAGAGAACCCCTCTGATCAGTCTAGGGAGTATCCAAGCAGTAGAAGCCCATAGCCTACTTTCTAAAGGGATTTCCAGAGAGGATGTGACTCAGGGTGTGAGGGTGAGAGTCTGGGGTGGGGGGAGGGGGGGAGAAATCAACATCATCACAAGTCCTGAGGGATAGTGGGCCTTCTAGAAGCTAGCTGCTCAGGGACAGAGGAAAGTCAGACAGATGTCTTTGAGCTTCTTGGATGGAAACTTCCACTCACAATCACAATGAACACCTAGGCTTGTCCTGAGTCTCCCCCGCTCCCCCCACCCCCGAGCCTGTAGGCCTATTGGAAGGCAAAGGAAGGCACCATACTGGCCCAGAATTCCTATTCCTCTGACCCACCGAGTTGCATAGGGTTCCTTAGTGCAGATCTCAAAAGAGGTCCCTGAAGCCTGACACTGGTGGCTCACGCCTGTAATGCTAGCTACTCAGGAGGCTGAGATGTGAGGATTGAGGTATGAAGCCAGCCTGGGCGAGGAAAGTCTATGAGACTTATCTCCAATTAAAAAGCTTAGAGACGGGGCTGGGAAGGTGGCTCAGTGGTAGAGTGCTTGCCTTGCATGCATGAGGCCCTGGGTTCGATTCCTCAGCACCACATAAGCAAAGAGAAAAAAAGCCGGAAGTGGCGTTGTGGCTTAAGTGATAGAGTGCTAGCCTTGAGCTGAAGAGCTGAGGGACAGCCCCCAGGCCCAGAGTTCAGGCCCCACGACTGGACCCAAAAAAAAGCTTAGAGACAATAACCAAGCCCCAGTAGACAGAGGAAGTATGGAAATTACAAACTGCAAAAGGCTCCCCTTTCTAGGGATGCCTGCAGCCTGAGCACCCAGGGCAACAGGGTCTCAGAGGCCCCAGGCACAACCTCAGTCGCCCCTCCCCCTCATCTTTGACTTACTGGGGTGGGGGCTACAGTATCCCTGGAGCTGGCAGCAGAGCAGGTCAGCTGGAAGCTGGGCCATGCCTAGGCTCCTGCCTCCTGCATTATTGATCAGCTGCCTGGCTGTGGCTGTGCATAATTCATGAAGACAAGGAAGCACCAAGGTTTGCAAACCAGAGGCATCCCAGCTTCTCCCAGCCTTGCGCTCAGTGTTTATGCCTCTTTGCTTAATGGGCTTCTAAGAGATCTCAGACTTCTCCTTCTGTCTATGAGGCTCTGGAGTGCTCTTTCAGGTTTGGCATTGCAACAAATCTGACCCGGGATGGAGCTGTCACATCCTCTG